ACTACGTACATTGATATAAGTAAAAACAAATTATAGGGAAACTTTAAACTTCTTAAGTATCTGTGATGTCAAGAAAGAGTAGTAGTAGTAAATCTTAGTCTAAGATTTTATAGTTCAAAAAGAGGTCCCCAAGGGATCCATGGTTGTGGTCAAATGGTCACAGAAGAACAGATAGAAAGTATCTCCAGCCATGTTCCATCTTTTAATCTTTATTTCCTTAATAATTTTAAACTGACATCAACTAAGGCTTTTCAAAGTTTTCCCGAGTTAAATTTATCTCTATTAGTGATACTGCATTTGATAGGCCAATAAAGCAAAACCACAATCACAACCAATCTTATCATAAACTCTGTTTTGTACTAAAATATTTTCAATGTGTCAGTGAGTTGAACCCATTTAAATTATGGCCTCCTGCCACTTCACACACATGCCAACCACGCCTCACTCATCTAGCTCACAGTGATTACCCCAGGTGCTTTGTTTAGTCTTTGTCATGGGTATTGCCTCACTATGCACGAATGCCCACCACATGCTGGCCACAGAATGAAGCTTGTGGTAGAAACTGAAGGAGAAGATATCTTTTTCCATGCTTAATCACAACAGAACACAGGGAACAGATCACACTAAAATAGTCCATTTTGATTTTTTAAAAAGATCCAGTCTTTGTTTTCACACATTGGTAGTCTGTGGATATGAGTGTATAAGTTTCAAAAAGACATTGATAGGGCTGGGGATTTAGCTCAGTGATTCTTCTGCCTGCCTTGCAAGCACAAGGTCCCTAGTTCTATCCCCAGTACCAGAAAAAAAAAAAAAAAAGACATTGATAATATTCTAAGACACTGATAGAGCAGACTTACATATACTGAAAATGTCTTTTTTCTTTCTTCAAGCACTTGGAAAAAGCTTCTCTGATTTATGGGGCCATTCCAGGTCATGTTCCAACAGAACACAGATGTGCGAGGTTTTACACTGTTAGACAATCTCTGGAGCATGTTTCATGAAGACAGGGCCAAGCTGCTTGGCCGTTCAAAATATCAATCACCCTTGCTATGACCACACTCACGTAGGATTAAAACTGGAAGCTGAAACATTCCCAGCATTACTTGAGCTCTCACTTGGCATGAATCCCTACTTACACAAAGGAAATCCATCAGCACTGGCGCTGATTCGTATTCACTTGGTGCATTGCAGTTCTGAGTGAGGCAACAGCAGCAGGGAAGTGCTTATAACGCTTTTTCTAAAGACTGATTATAATGTAAGCATGGAACTGAATATATTTACAGAGCATAAAAAATAACAGCAATAAACTTTCTAATTACACAGAACACTAATACATTGGTTACAGAAAACTGTAAAGAATGGTTGAGTTGTTCTTTGTAGAACAACTGCACAGAAAGAGAATATTCACAGAACACAATGTTAGAACCGTTAGGGAGCTCTGGAGAAGGAGTCCCCATTTGGAGTGAATAAATTTCTGATGCCTGGGAAGCCATCTTGGGATGGAAATATATGCCTAGATGTAGAAATCTGGTAACATGCCAGGCCTAAGAGCCACATGCCAATTCCAAGGCAGAAAAGAGACATAGTTTTCAACCTGTTTTCAGAAGCAACAGTGTTTCCTGTCACCTTTGAAGATGTATAGCCAAAGTATAATGAATAAAATTTACTTTTGATAGAGCTAATGATATGTGCAGTTTAGATATGTAAAAAATATCTTTGAGAACATAGAGTTGGAATGGTTATGCAGCAAATATAAAAGGGGTATGCACTTGGTTGTCATATTTCAGTAATTAGGTAATCTTTGTTCCTGCCTTAGTCTCTTCTGGCAACTCTTTAAAATTTGTTTTTCACTCAGAGATACTCTTCCCCTTAGCCTACACACTGACCTTCACTATACCTGTGATTTCATTTAGACCTAGGCACTGATGCATTCACAGCAGGACTTAGATCATGATTCTATTATCTACCTCAGTGAGTGAAGAAAAGTCACCTTAACAATAAAGTGGGCAATTGTATTTGCCTATGGTGTTGATGTAAGAATAAGTTGATGCAGATGAAGTACTTGCACTTCATCGTCTAAATAAATATTAACAAGTATATATGATTGTTAATAAGCATGTTTCTTAGAAGCCTTGGAAGCCATGAGCAGAGGCAATAACCAAAACACTTTGAATTTATAATAACAATGGTTGTCATTTATTGACCATTCACTAGAGATCAGAAACTGAGATAATTCTTGAAGAATCATTTAGGTACAATTATCTGTCTCTGTCTCTCAGAGAATGGTTACATAACTTGCCAATTGTACACCAATAGGAAAGAGCAGAGTGGGGCCTGAACCAGTCTGGAGCAGTCTGGCTCAACAGTCTCTGCTGAGCTACTGTCACAAAGCTTTGATATATGACAAATTTATTCCATACCATGTTATTACTTTAAAGCATATTCATGACTTCTTTTAAAAACAGAGCTAGGGCCGGGGATTTAGCTCACTGGTTCCGCTGCCTGCCTTGCAAGCGCAAGGACCCGAGTTCAATCCCTGGTACCAAAAAAAACCAAAACCAAAACAAAACAAAAAACAGAGCTAGAAAATATATCTAGGAGAAGCCAAGTAAGAGAGTGATTTTGGAAGGGACAAGAATGGTTATGAATCCAAAGCTTTCCTCTATTGATGGACAAAAGAAAATATTCAAATTAATATATGACAAGTGCTTGGGAACCAGATGCTGTTGTTAGGGACAGAGATGAAAACAACTGAAGCTCAATTCCTTGTTTTAAGAAATCTATGTGTGCCATGTTCCCTGTGAGTTTGTATCCTAGGAAAACGCTTGAATGAGGCTTTTGCCACATAATTGTTTAAGAGCTTAAAAATACTAGAAAAAGTATCAAAAGGTAAAAATCTTATTTATGAACTTTTTTATTCTTTTTATTGAAACCCAGAGTTGTGACTGGGAAAGGAAAAATGTCTACAATCCAAGTGGTCACAGTTCCCTCAAATAAATAAATATATATATTTCTATTATGCCAAATATGGAATAGCTATCATACAAGGAAATAAAAGCCAGTGTAATAATCTAAAATTAGCTTTTACTATATAAACCCTGTTAGGGCACCAGCGACCTGAAGGTAGTGTCTAACCTCTTTGGTATATTACCAATATTTAAGGTCATTTATAGTATGACCCTGCCCAGATTTCTGGTCTTATCACAGCCACTCTCTGCTGTCAAGGCTATCCCTTCAAACATCCCCTTATTTGTTGACAATACGCCCTGTTTTCAGATCTCTATGGTTTTGCATATGTTGTTTCTTTTATGAAAAGCTTCACTGTCCAGTAAGATATTCAGTAGTGATTTAAGTGTAATTTAAAACTAATTGAAGTTAAATAAAATCAAACATTCAGTTCCTAGTCACATTAGCTACATTCCAAGGACAATAAATACATATTGGATAATATAGATACAGAGCATTTTCAGCATCACAGATAATCTTACTGGGCAGCTCTGCTTTTAAAGTGTGTCAGTTTTCATTCTGATCCTCATTTACACTTTCAGTTTCTCACACCAGAGAAATTATTTAGTATTTACACATGTGTGTCCTATTTATTTCATTTAGGAGTATGGCCTCAATGTATACCCATTTAGCTATAAATGTCTCTAGTTTAAGGTCCAGAGGTGAAGGGGAAGTGGCAGGGTAGGGGAAAGGAAAGAAGGGAATGAATATGAGAAAAGGAAAAAACAGAAACAAAATCTTTGTAAATAGGGAGGGGTGGAGCGGTTGAAAGGAGGGCAGGGGAATGGGGAAAAAATAAGAACTAAGATACATCATGTAAAAGTACAAATTCTCAACAACGAATATCATCCTACTGTATACCTAAAATGTACCAAGAAACTTAATGAATTAAAAAAAGTGCACCAGTTTTCATCAAAGCTCCAACTTCTAGGCCCTTCAGAGTCTTATTCCTTTTCAAGTTCCTACTCAAAAACCACTGCTTTTGTGAAGCATTTTTTGATTCCCCTCTGTAATCTACTTCCCATTCTGGTTTTTGTATGTTTATGTTACAGTACATATCAATTCTGCTATTTTAGTTTTGTTTTGCACTGTTTTTTCCACTTGGATACTAGAAACATGAGAGAAAGGAATTTATACCCTTATCACAGTTACTGAATTATAACCATGATTTTTGGATGACTGAATGTGTTGGGATTGTAGACAATGGTCTTTGACCTCAATTTTATTTTTCTTTTTCATTCCAGTAGAAGAGTAAAGAGTTGTGTAGCAATTTCTATGGCATTTCACGGAAAAATGAGAAAAAGCGGGAGCCTATCTTTCCGATCCTTTGATGAATCTGTGTTCACAAGGTACACTGGGGTCAGGGGACCCGAATTCATCACCCCCTATAACTCTTCCTTGATCTCTGACAGGTGAATGTGGAGGTGGAACTGATGAGGCTCACTAATCACACCTTCAACCCACATGCTCCTATCAATGTGTCGTAACTGCCACTGCATCCCAAACTCTACAGCCCAATTATACAGAGTTGTAGGGGGACAGCACCTACGTACATGATACCAAAAAACCTCTGCGCGTGTCTCATTTCCTAGGAATTTCAGAAAAGATTTAATTGTATGATTAATATGTAAGAATTTTATAACAGTTACAGACTCTGAAACTATAAAATTATGTTTGTGTGCTTCAAAAGAGCATATCTTTGGATCTTTCTATTTCTATAAACCCATCAACAGGAAAAGATAAAGGATTCATAATGCAACATTAAATGTTTAAAAAGTTATGATAAAGAATAATTTCCTGACTGTGTGGCAGTTAAACATGAGGAAAAGTTGGAGAGCTGTGAATAGACTACTAAAGATCAAAAAATTATTTTTAAACAGGAGAAATCTAGCTGGTGGGCTTTCAAGGAGATCCCTTGTACATAAGTGGGACAACAGACAGCTTGGTACAGCTGAAGGAAAGCAAGCTTCACAGATGGGAGGACCAGTGCTCACATTTCAGTTCAAGCCTTCCAGACATCATTTCATTGGGAAAAACAAATCCTGTGATATGCCCTAACAGGTAAGGAAAAAAAAGACAGGAAACATTATGTTGTTTAGCCTAATTAATAAAACGACAATGATTACACATTTCTACAGATAGACTGGAATGAAAAACTTGAGTAAGATCAGATTCTAGTCCATGGACCATGTATACTAAAATTATGAAGAGGCACAAGTGATTACATTAGTTTCCTAGACTGTAAAATACCAAAGACTTGGTGGCTTAAAGCAATAGAAATTTATTGTTTCATAGTTCTAGAGGCGAGAGGTCTGAACTCAACATAAAAGCAGAGCCATGCTCTCCCTCCTATCTTCTGCTGGTGGTTGCCAAATGGCATTCCTTGCCTTGCAGCTACATAAATCCAGTCTGTCTCTATAATCATATGTTCTTCTTTGTGTGTGATGTCATGCTTTTGTGTCTCTTCTCTTCTTATAGCATTCATTAATTTGATAAGGAACTTACTGTTTAAATGTGAAATTTCCTCCAAAGATTCATGCATCAATACCAATGCAGCAATGTGCAAAGGTTTAGGCTGACAAAGGTGATTGAATTGTGAGGGCTTTAATCTCACCAGTGGGTTAACCCATTGATGAAATCATGGTTTGATAGCACAGTTGGGAAGTGACAGAAACAGGAGCTGTAGCCTTATTGAAGAGAGTAGATTTCAGGGGCATGGCTCTGGGGACTATCTTGTCCCTGGTCCTGTCTTCTGTCTCTGGCTGTTTCCCTCTCTGTGTTCCTGGATGTCACGAAGTGAGCAGTTTTCCTCCAATCCACCCTGCTACCATGATGTTTCTGCCTCACCACAGGCCTAAAAGCAGTGCAGCCAGGTGATCACAGACTGAAAGCTCTGAAACCATGAACCCAAATAAACCTTTATACTCTAAATTGACTTTGGTCACAGTGACAAAAATCTAACATAACTCCCTGTTTCCATTTCTGGGAGCAGAGGTCTAGATGTCAACATAATTTTTTGAAAGCTACAACTCTACCCCAAACAGTGATTATTAAAACTTCATATTGCCCAAGTCAATGTAAGAGCTACTGAATTTATAATGAAGCCTTTCATACAGTGTTAATGTACCATAATGTTTAAAAATGTTTCCCTAGGAAGACAATAAAGGGCTGAGATGACGGGTGATAGCTTGGCTATAACTTGGATGAAGCAAATGAAGCCCTTGCCTTGGGTACAAAATTTAAAGGATCACCAAAAACTCAGTAATCAAGAAAAACGTTTTAATGGAATATTTTAAAAAGATTAATGCAAAAAGTGTATGATAAAAAATACTACATTTTACATAAGACAGAATCAATATTACTCATTATTTTCCTTTTCTCGAAGGTTCCAGTTACATCTCAGCCATGACCTGGCAGTAGGCATGAGCCATCAAAAAGAGCTAACCTCTAAACCCAGTTTCCCCCAAATCCACTAGAATTCTATTTATATCTTCCTTGTCCTAGTGGCATTTTAGGGAAACCAAACAAAAGGAGTTTGTTATATTTTTTAGTCACAATAGGCAAGCAAGAAAAGTCTCTCATAGGAGGTTAGATGAAATGAGATAAAGAATTAAAGGGAAAAAGATATCAGCCAAAAAGTAACTAATTGAGATCCAGGTATTTTAAAAATAACACCTGCTAGGTCTGTGCGTGCCCTAACGAGGTCCTGAGTCTCGCGGAAGACGCCGAATCACCCCGCTGCAGACAGGCAGGTCTGCCCATGCCCTATCTAGGTCCTGAGCCGCACAGAACACTCCGAATCACCCCGCTGCAGACAGGCAGGTCTGCCCATGCCCTATCTAGGTCCCGAGTCGCACAGAACACACCCAATCAGCCCGCTGCAGGCAGGCAGGTCTGTGCATGCCCTACCAAGGTCCTGAGTCACGGGGAAGACGCCAAATCACTCCGCTGCACACAGGAAGGTCTGCCCACAACCTACCAAGGTCCCCAGTCGCGCGGAAGACACCAATTCACCCCACTGCAGACAGGCAGCCACCTGATTCCACACTAAAAAGACGCAGAGGACACCAGACCACCAGACCAAGGTACTGAGTCCCACTGTTCCCGGCCAAGAGGTAGGGGCTTCTGAGCCATCATCCCACTGCTCCTGGTCCAGAGGAAGGGGCTTCCTGGTCACCATCCCTCCCGCTGCTCCCAGCCCAGAGGAAAGGGCTTTTGGGCCACCTCTGTCCCACTGCTCCTGGCCCAGAGGAA